AGCGCGGTTTGCGGACCTGTTGATTCCCGACACAGATTAGCGACTGCGCGGTAGTCCTAGCGCAAAGAACTCGAACAACTCACTGTGAAGCGATAGCCGAGAGACTGTGCGCCGTCGACGAGAGCAGCCTCATCAGGACTGGAGGCCTGGAATACGATGCGATCCTCCTTCTTCTCTGGAATGACGGTATGACACACAGCCAACAGAGTCAAAAACTCGTCAATGACCGCACTGCTTCCGTCGTCCGGTGCAGAGCCGTCCATGATAGCCTTGAGTTCGTGCCAAGTCCTCTGTCCTCCGATCTCCCTGCCATCAGGTCCAATCTCCCCGGTTCCCTGCTTGCTCTCATCAACCACATCTGTGTACGCTGTTCCGCCAATGCTGGCTTGCCTAAATTCCATCTGGTTCCTGGTGAGCGTGCCCGTCTTGTCGGAAAAGATGTAATCGATCTGACCCAGCTCCTCCACCAAGCTCGAGGTGCGACAAAGCGCGGGGGTATCTGTAGGAGCGTAGTACATGTCCAGATCCGAGCTAATCAGCTGAGCCTGCTGGTACTTGATGACCTCGATGGTGACGATGAGCGAGATGGGAATCAGATTGTTATAAGCGATGACAAAAGTGAGGATATCTTCTATGAACACGCGGGCTTTGCCCTTGCCGTCCTGGCCCAACAAGAGGTACTGCATCTCGCCAGCATATGCAGTGTTACGGACGATAGACCCGATGGCCGAAGCGATGGAGAGCGCCAGTAACAAGATGAAGAGCAACAAGATCAGCACGTTGACTTGCTTCTCCACCGCCGTCCTCTTGATAGGGGTCGATGTTGCATTGCGCATCAGCTTCGTCTCGTGTCCCGTAAACACCACCAAACCGTACACCCAAGGCGTGTTGCGCAATTGCGCGCCTCGCAACAAGAGCTGGTCTGGACTGAGTGGCACCTGTCTCATGGGCACACCGCTAAAACCAGGCGTGGCGCTGGTCTGCAAATGCAGCGTGGCATCAAAGTTGTACAGATTGTTGTTGGGATGTTCCGAGTTGAGATGGCCCCGCAGAGCGCATACTGGCTGAGGAGAGGTGAAGCGCGCCGTCTCTGGCGATGCCTGCTTGATCTTCAAATTCGTCTCCCCATCCAAATTGGCCGTCTCGACATAGCAGAGCCCTTCTGGCTCCGAACTGCTGAGCAAGACCAAGTCCGCGGGAAAAAACTCGTTGCTCTCCACACGCAAGACATCACCTACTCGGATATGCCGCCATCTCCGAGGCTCAAAAGTGCCCGTGCCAGGATCGAGGACTTGAGCTATCCTCGCATTCAGCTCGGCGTCTGATTGATGACGTTTCTGTAGAGTGGCAAGAAGGTCAAAAGAGTCGCATGGCGCAAGGGCAGCAGTGCGCCACTCACGATATCCTCCTTCACCTCCTTGAACGCACTGGCCAGCAGCACAAGTCCAAGGGGTACGATGGTGGTCCATCTGTTCGTAGGCGAGACATTTGGAATCTGTTGAATGCAGGCAGTAAAGAGGAAAAAGACGTTTGCGTATTTGGAAAATTGTTCTGCGTGCAGGAGCAATCGGCATCAGCTATTGGCCACAGCGACATCTTGACCACACAGGGGCGCAATCACGGTGACCATCGTAGACTGCTGTCTGAGCAGACGCTCCAAGTAGAGCGCATACAGGGCACCCCGTTGAGGATTTGCGAGAACGCTAAGCTCACCGTAGAGGAATTTGGGCAGAAAAGTGATGATGTTGAATTTGCTCGTGCTGATCCAATTATCCGCAAAATTTTCCTTATCGTTTGTAGTGGGATCATTGAGCCTGACCACGCGGTCTCCCTGCGGCACTTTTTCTCTAGCAGCTTTCCCGCCCACCAAACCCCTAAAGTCGGCGCGCAACGACTTGATGGATCGATTCACTCCGTCAAACGGACTGTCTCGTGGCATCCTTCGAGACTGACCAGCTGCTCCACCGCTCAATGCAGACGAGGCTGCTCCCCCAACACCTCTATCGCCCGCATTGCCGCCCGGCCTGCCTGATCTGGCTCCTTTAGCATCTGGCGCATCGTAGGGCTCGTAGTCGTCGTCGTCCGCCTCTATCGCCTTGCCCCCTCCCCCTGCGCCATATGGATCGCTAAACGGTCCATACCTATCCGTTGAGTACCCAGCAGGGGGTGCCGCATTTCCTGCCAGTCCCAGACCCGATTCCGTCGATGC